ACTACTCAACAATATTTATTCTAGTTCCAAATGTGTTCACATATGACCTGAAACATTAGAAGTCGCGGGGATGGTGCGGGTACAATACACACTACGATAGCGCCATTGAGTTCAACTGTATATTCGAGCCTGATAGGCATGAAAAAACAGCTGCTCGGTGCGTGGTGTGTACGAGTTTACGCGACACGTAGTTGGGGGAAAGAAACCCCATGAATGGTACGGTCGGCGAACACGCGCTACCCCCTCCCCTCTAGAGTCCCCCTAGAGACCCCGTCCCCTAGAGGCCCCTAGAGTCCCCGTAGATCCTCTACCCCTTCCCATTGCGCCCCCTGCGTACAAAAACAATACCGAATATCAAGAGGATACGTCAATTAGCCATTTGCATTTATGCGGTCATTCCGGATTTTCTCCTATGCCCCCTTTCTAACCTTTGACCCTTGACGGTTTGACCCCTCTACTTCGACCTCCCAATGTCTCTTTGGAGTGTCCCGCACGCGAAATTTTTTTTCCCACTTCAGTTCCAGACCCACCATAGATATAGTGTTTTGTAATAATATATGGTTCGTATATATATGGTTGGATTATAGTTAGTGTTAGGGTTCGGGTACGGTTTATGGTTAGGGTTAGGGTTAGGATTAGTGATAGTGAGTATTTATTTTACATTGTTGCTTCGAGGAAGTAGAGTGAATGGAGTGCGCTGATTGGCTATGGTTCGGAACTCAAGTGGGAAAAAAAATTTGCGTCCCGCACGTCCCGATATCAACACGGTCAACACCTCACGTCCGGCCTGTCTTTGTTACCAACTTGACAGTAACATATTCCGTGTTCATAATTATAAGCCTCCTCATGAGGGTCAAAAGGTCATGTCAGCTATATACTCTTTGCATATTAGTGGAAACTAAATTTTATTATACTTTCGATAATGCCATAAAAACGGTAGGTAACCGAGTTTTTCACTCTGTCCGTCAAACCATTTTCTCAAAGAATGTCTAAAATCGGTCCTTTGCCATGCTGCCCTTTGACCTATGACCACAAATGTTGCTACAGTTATGACTTGTCTGGCCATGACGCTATATATACCGAATATCAAGATTCAATAGCATAGGTCAAGCTGCTTACATTTTGTCATTTGTGCAGCAATTCCGCATTTATAATTCCTACCAGGCGCGGTGTCACGGGGGGGTGGGGGGCGGTTGCCCCCTATGATTTAAAAAAAAGGGGGAAAAAACTGGTTCGACGGGTCTGAAAGCTGTTGTTGTGCGGGGGAGGGGGAGGATTCAGCCCGAATCCCAGCTCTTGCTAATTCTAATTATTAAAACCCCTTTCACTGCGGGCTCAGACTGCGGGTCCCGGCCGCGTATTATTTTTTCCGTAGGCCCCTACCACGTGCACTAATGCGTAATGCTGTTTTATGGTGCCTTGTGACCCTAAACCTAAGGACGTGGATATTCGTCCGAGCAAAATATACACACAAGTACAAACAGTCAACCTCAGGGGCGTAGCTACGGGGGGGCCTGGGCGGCACGAGCCCCTTTCACTGCGGGCTCAGACTGCGGGTCCCGGCCGCGTATTATTTTTTCCGTAGGCCCCTACCACGTGCACTAATGCGTAATGCTGTTTTATGGTGCCTTGTGACCCTAAACCTAAGGACGTGGATATTCGTCCGAGCAAAATATACACACAAGTACAAACAGTCAACCTCAGGGGCGTAGCTACGGGGGGGCCTGGGCGGCACGAGCCCCCCCCCCCCCCC